CCAAACCCCCCTCCATCCCTTCCCCTTTTCCTCCTCCATCTCCCCGGCAAAGGGTGCGGGGACCCCAGTGTTGTTGCACCCGCGTGTGCAAACCGCTGGATGCGTGCCCGAGCCCCGCACCGTGGATCGCTCCGGAGGGATGAGCCGGGACCCTCCCGCAAATCCCATTATCTCCGCAATTCCTGCCGGATCGGGGCTCCGAGAGCGCCACCGCCTGTCCCCAGCGGAGGAGCCTTTAACCCCTTGGCACCTGTTTTGTCATCTTTGGGTTTATGGCCAAGCAAGGAAAAAGCCTCAGAAATCAGCTGGAAAAAGAGTAAAAAGGAATAATCCCAGGTTCTAGTTGAGCGACGCTGGCTGGGATTGCACCTGCAGGTCACATAAATCCACACTCTGTCGTGAGTCTCGTGGTCCATCACAAGAAGCCACCCTTGCCTTGGATGCATCATCCAGAACAGACAAGGAGAAATGAGGAAAACCCAAGCACAGAGCACGAAAATAATTAAATCTTAGGAAAAAGGCCAAGGAAGAACCCAAAGAGGCCAAGGAGGAACCCAAAGAGGCCTAGGAGGACCCCAAATAATTCTTGTAACGTGTTCCTGCAGCTCCAGCTGCACCTGGAATCATCCAACACGGAGCAGCTCTGAGGGAACAGAGCCCAGGTCTTGGGATCTCTCCTGTGGGTCCTGACCCAGCCACCACGCTGTGCCCATGGAAAAAGGGAAGTGCCCGATGCCAGACTGAGCAAAGAAACAGTAGAAAATGTAACAGTGAACACATTTTTGCCTGTGTTGGTAAAGAAAAAAGTATCCTCTTAAGTTGCTGTTCTCTTTAGTTCTGTTACAGTTTATAGTTGGGTTTTTTGGGGCTGCTGGAGGGATGACGTACAGCAACTTCAATAAAAAGGTGCATATAAAGGCGCCTGGTTTGCAGAGCTCCTTTTCAATCCTATTCCTCTAAATCCTTGGCGTTTTAAAAAAACAGGGCTGTAAATTAAATCAAAAGGAGAGAGTACTGTCTCTTGCTTGGGGAATGTATGGGCTTCATGGAATCACTATCCGAAATCTTTTTTCCCCTATTCTTTGTGGGTTTGTGAGCGCTGCAGAGAGATGGTGGTGGCAGGGCAGGAAACATCAAGAAAAAGAAAATAATAATCACAAGCTGTTTTCTCTGCCTCCAGGAGCAGGCAGGGAAATTTAATTTAAATAATTTAAAATTATTTTCTGATGCTGGCCTGCCTGTGAGTAGCCAGGAGGGTGTATCTTCACTGGAAAGCTGGTCTTCAAAGCCATCAGTGTTTCTGCAGGAAGATGCCCTGTCTGGAATGCTCTCTTCCTCCCTGCACACACATCGCTGTCTTCC